ATAATGCAACTAAAGTTGAACAAAATTTGAACTTGCTTTGACACCTGTTTTATTGGTAAACCCACACTTTCGAGTGAGAGTTTTATACTTTAACCGTAAAATAAATGATAAAATTGAAAGATCCGTTGCTTTTGCGGTGCACATTGCTGAACGTATGTTAATTTACATATATATAAATAATGTATGCTTATGAATAATTCAATGCATACCACTCAACATTGAAATAATAATCCCCCCCCCAGTCAGAATACTCGTCGTTATATGCTCTTCCTGCTGTGGTTAATGTTGTGGGTTCCAACCACTTTCTTGGCCAGATAGTTTAAGAATAGCAATCCCCTCGTCAACTCTAGACTTCGCACATGACTAAAGCTCCTTTTAACAAAGGGGCAAGGTCTGATAACAATAGCGGTTTATAAAATGCATGCCATAGTTAACTGTAGAAATTCAACTTAACATAGGAATACAACTGTAGAAATTACACTCTGTATATGATTACCAGTGAGATCAGTAGCATAAAGACGAGACAGTGGATTTACAGAACAATGGATCACATGACCAAGAGTGGTGTAAGTGACATTAAAGGGAAAGTCCAGGCTAACAACATAATACTCCCAGAGCTAGGCAAATGCAAGAACATGCAATTTACAGTTTTTTATATCACTTTTTATTCTCTAGATATTCAATGAAAATTTATGAATATCTAGAGAATGAAAAACGTTTTTCAAAAAAATGTAAATTGTATTCTCTTACATTTGTGGATCTTTCTCTTGAGGGGTCATTATGTTGTTTAGATTGATGTTTCCTTTAATATGATGCACAGATGGTGACGTTGTGCTTAGAGAGAATACTGGTTTTGACCATATTCCCAATTGTATGAGTAATCTTTACTTTCATGATCAGATCAAAACAATCTAAACTTGTCTAGAATTTCACAAATGAAAATAAACGTCACATAAAATATTATTTGTATTCAAACATAATGTTCAATGTTGTTAACTCCATTTTCCTATTCCATCCGTGATGGATATCTATGCAGTTTTATCTTATCATAGATGAAGGGAGAAATATACAAGGGGGACAATATCTGTTCATGTCATTGTTGACTATGTCATAAAACATTTTTCTTCTGGTTACAATAACTCAGTTTTTTATGAATATCTAGAGAATGAAAAACGTTTTTCAAAAAAATGTAAATTGTATTCTCTTACATTTGTGGATCTTTCTCTTGAGGGGTCATTATGTTGTTTAGATTGATGTTTCCTTTAATATGATGCACAGATGGTGACGTTGTGCTTAGAGAGAATACTGGTTTTGACCATATTCCCAATTGTATGAGTAATCTTTACTTTCATGATCAGATCAAAACAATCTAAACTTGTCTAGAATTTCACAAATGAAAATAAACGTCACATAAAATATTATTTGTATTCAAACATAATGTTCAATGTTGTTAACTCCATTTTCCTATTCCATCCGTGATGGATATCTATGCAGTTTTATCTTATCATAGATGAAGGGAGAAATATACAAGGGGGATAATATCTGTTCATGTCATTGTTGACTATGTCATAAAACATTTTTCTTCTGGTTACAATAACTCAGTTTTTTTGACTAGTAAGTATTCAAGATGAGGGTTAACATTTGGCTAGAATAAGACATTTATACTGCTGATATTGAAAAAGATATTCGCAAAGATAGTGTAGTAAACTGATATGTTTTCACTATGTTTAAATCATTTTTGCTTCCAAAAGTGACAAGTACACTTGTTTTTGTTCACTTTTAGTCAGAATTTTCTGAGCAAAATCGTGTTTAGATGTATTATTGCATTGTTTCATCCAATGAGAAGATTGTACCAGACAGCAAGTGCATCGATAGTTTGCATTTATTTATATCTGGATTCTTAATGGACAAGGTTGTGATAGTTTCACTATGTTCTTACTACACCCCATGTATTCATGAAGCTTACTGCACACTGTCATTTAGTGACTGAATTGCTTGTGTATTCAAAACACCAACACTAGATGAAAATCCTTAGATCAGGAAGCACACTTGCTCAATAAAGTCATCTTCTCATTGGACCATTAGTCTCTAGGGTTGATGGTCTGTGGACCAATAGAAAGAATAACCACTGGCTGTGAAGCTTCAGGCTGGCGTCGTGGTACGAATCGAGCCCTCTGATTGGGTGCCGTCATGGTACGAATCAAGCCCTCTGATTGGGTGCCGTCGTGGTACGAATCAAGCCCTCTGATTGGGTGCATGACAGAAAAATGAAACAGGAGTGTAATCCTCACTGCTCACCCCATTTCAACATTTTGTCTGATGTCGTGGCGTCACTCCTCATGTAGACTAATCCTATCATGAGAAATTGATTACAATAGCAGTCACCTCCTGTACAAAAAAGTGCTACACTATTTAAAATGGAAAAAGGTGTTGCTTGCACTTTATTCTTGGTTCTGCCATGGATTTACCAATCAAGTTGGCATTTGTTGAAGTGTAGGATTGAACATAATCAATATTGTTATTCAACTTACAGTTCCATCAGTAGGATGGTGTGTGGTGGTCTTGTGCCCACTTGTTGCTAGGCAGCCATCTTTGAAATTACCGGAGCTTGAGACCACTATAAATAGATCTCCGGGGTGTTATGGGAGTCAAAGCATATATGCATGTCACAGAATGTTCTATGTTGCCAAGATGTGCACCATTACCATATTTCAACCATTGTTTTTCACCGGTTTTAGTTGACAGGTGATGAAAATGTTGAATGTTTGCTCCCGAACATAAGGCAGAATTTAATATGTTGATGAGAACCTGTCAACAAACAAGGTGCGATCTGATTGGCCTTACTGTGCTGGTTGGGTAACCAAATCAGATACAACCTTGTAAGTTGCTTCAATTTGACTTTGTTGGTAATCTGAAAATACCACTATGCCTTTTCCATGTTGCTTAAAATTACAAACCAATCATACAGATTTTAGTATGTAGTTTATCACTAAACAGTTTAAATTTTTTTGAATTTTATAGAAATTTTAAAATGTTTGTAAAATATAACTTCAAATTGTATATTTTTTTGTTTAAATTTTTTGATATTAGCCATTTAATATCTAGTCAAGTGCATTTTCAATTTTTTTTATCCATATTCAAACTGGAAACATTTGATACAGCCACTTGGGTTTGTTATTGTCAGTTTGAAGAAAGTTGAAGATTCATATCTGGTGAATTTTGATTTTGTTTCCTACAAATGAGACAATGACGCCCACATCTTTGTGGGAATGTACTTCACAGAGGCTAGTACCAATTACATGCAATTATACGGTACTATTATAAGTACAGAAATATGTAAGAAAATATCAGTCATTGAATAAATAATCCACCTGAACTAGTTTACCGAGTTGATGTTTTTTTTTTCAACTTCATCACACTGAAGATGTTTCAGCACAATAGTAGTGGTTGGTTTCTGACCGTGTAAAAATTATCCATGATTTCAAGTCCAAAATCACAAAAATGAATGTACAGCATTTAATCAAGTTTCTAAAAGTATACACCAAACAAACTCCTTAAATGATAGATTTCAACACTGATAATACCTTTTCAGATAATGACAAGCAGTTGAATAATTAACACAAATGTGTCCACAATCCTAGAGCAAATATGTAAAGTGAGTAAAATAACAAACCTGTACTACCATAGATTACTTCACATTTTGCCTACAGGTATAATGGAAATTACTGTAAAATACTTAATCTTAGCTGGAATTAATTTTCGCTGAAAGTCTTTTTTGGGCGTTTTGTATGGAATTTATTTTCAGTTTTTTGACGAGCTGAATGTAAAATATAGGGAAAAAGGTATATTCGCTGGATTTTATTTTCACAGATTTTATATTTTACAGTAATGATGAATTAACAATAGATCAGATGTCTATATTCTTGTTTAAGCATCGTAGAGCTACTGTTTCTGCAATGACATTTTCTTTTGTCGAGCCATCAGTTGCAACATGCTAAGACAATCTAAAACTTCATCACATGTGGCAAATGATCAACATTTTTTAAACAAGACCACACATAGTTGGTCAATGAGGGCGCTCTTAACAGACATGATATTCTCGCTGGTTCAAATGAAAGTACAAGTAATGTTTGACACAGAGGGAGCTGTTTATAACAAGCAAATTTCAAATCGAGGATTTTCTTTTATTATCGTTCAGTTTCTGTAGCAGGAATTAAACTGTTTATATTTTTGTTTTGAGTGTGATACAGTTTCACTGGGACAGTCACTACCCATATTCTGATATTCAGCATCAGAAATTATAGACGGACACAAACATAATTTATAAAATTTTACTGATTCTTATTAAACATAACTTACAAATTGTCGGGTACTAGTTATGTAATTTTATACAGTATTTTTTCAGTATTCAAGACACTTACTACAGAAGTTTGCCTATCAATAAAAACTTGAACAAAAAAATCTCCACAGCCATACACTAGAGAAATCTCTCTTGTATATATGGGAATCAAAATATAATTTATATATTTGTTATACGTTATAGAAGTCCCAATCTTATTGGCTGAACATTTTTCTATTTTACCTTTACAACTCACATGTGCTAATTTCATACAAATATATTTCAAGGTAGTATGAGAAAGCTAGTTTATTCACATTGTATTAATTAGTAAATTATATTTGTACATTCTAGTCCATTTTGTACATGATAACAAAACACCCCCACCCCTCACCCTCCTGCAGGTGACCTAGTCACTTTTTTTGTCTGGCCATACAAATGCATTTGTACAGGTAGGAAGGTGAATGAATTTAAGATGTTAGACAGGCTACCAATTGTAGACTTAACACATGCTGATGGTGTATCATAATAATAATGAACTCTCAGTAGTAGCATATTCCCATCTGATATGGCATTGTTAGTACAGTACATTGTATTAGATACAGATGTATACATGCACAATTCACTACTTAATATATAAACAATTTTTTAAAATAGAATTGATTCACTTCTTCTTTTTATGTTTCTTCTTCCTGCTGAAGTGAGAGATTTCAGAATCTTCCGTTTTAACCACCTGTTAATTGAGCAAACAAATAATGACCTGAAATTAGATTTCATTGATAGACATAGTGAAGAGATAATGTAACTTATTGTTAAATCTGTAGATTCACTCCCATAAACCCTGTTTTGACCTGTATGCAGATTGAAAAGCATTAACAGTCTATCAAGGATTTGGGTGAATAAAACTATGACTACACAATTATGGGATATAATATGTAAATTAACTTATTCAATAGCTCCAGCCAATCACAGTTCTTTTATGTAATCAAGATAGGATTACACATGTAATTTCCTGTTCAGAAACAATATATGGTGGCCAATCAGCATCGTCATCATCAAAAACTGACAAAATTATTCTGCATGCAAGATTTCCACAGGGTAGCGATAAAAAAATTAAGTCTGTTTTGATGAGATCAAAAACAATGATCATATACATGTGTAGACAATAAATGCAATGATTTGTGGTATAAATTACCTCATCACATGATAATTTTATGTTAATGAAGAAATAACTGTTGTCTGCCATAATATCCTCTGATTAAATAAACAGCAGAATAAAGATGGAAATACCAGATAAATGTTTTCAAACCAATTATGGAGGGACTGTGGGCCAGTAATTATTTCCAAATTCCAGTTATCTTGTGATACTGAATACATTAACCATGTACGGTTACTGTGATGGTTCACATGTACTGAGTCTTCTCTGGCAGAACTCCATTGTCCCAACTATATGAGATTGAATGATAAGCAGATTACATAAGAGTGGGCTGCTTTTCTCTGATTTTAGATGGATTTAAATTTCCACATTACCTTGGCAGAAACATTACTGTCACTGTCATCTGTTTCTTTGTGTTTTCTCCTTTTCTTTCCATGCTCAGTTTTAACTTTAATGTTTGTATATTCAATTGATTTCTCAATTTCTGCATTTCCTGATTCAGCTGTCATCACTTCTTGTTTGTTTGAGACAATTTCTTTCATCTCTACTGATGGAGAAAAACTGTCTACATTTGATGATGGTACGTTACTTTCCAGCTGATATTTTTCACTTTTTCTTTTCTTTTTTTTCTTTTTCCTTTCTCTAGCAGTTTTATCCACTTCAGTTGTGTTTCCAGCTACTGGAATGGATTGACCTAGTCGTTTATTTCTGTCAGGGCCTGCAAATATGAAAGTAGACCACTATATTTATTTTCTATCGATGACAATGCTACCAGTGACAATGGAAAACTTTTTTTTCTAATTTGCCAATAATTTTTTTTTTTTGATGGCTATTTCAGATACATGTACATTGCCATAAAGCTGGAACCATTACAAAGTGAACTGAATGAACGATGTATATAGAAGACACTTAATTCTTTTACTAGTGTGTAACACTCAAAATAATCATTCCCCACTTCTGCAGTACTGTCAAATATCAAGTACTGAGACCATCTTTTGGCCATCGCCATCTCAATGGATTTCAATGTTGTGTACACCTAGTTAGTTTTGTTGTTGTTGAAATCTGTGCCATATTCATTATCTAATCTGCATGAACAGATTTTAAATTTGTTGTAGTTGATTTCATTTAAATTTCTTACATGTCTGCTTTTGGATTAGTTTCTTAATAATTTATCTGTTTCTATTAATTACGTACCAAATCTGCTTATAATTATGAACCAATAAGAATCATTTTTTGGATAATAATCTCTAAAATTTGCTGCATACATGAAATACACATGTACTCAAATGAATTCCTATTAATTGACAAAATAATAATCTCAGTTTAAGAATGTCTAGGTATTATTATTATTGTTTTTTATTGATTATTTTATTTTGCATACTTAATTGAATTTATGATTTAATTTGGTTAAACAATATTTGATAAAATAATTTCTCTAATACAAAGTTTGCATGCAAATGTGAATGAGAATAGTGTGTTTATGAACAAATAAGTCATATTTTAGTGATCCAGTATACAATACATGTTATAGTGCATGTTGCACTATATATTTATTATACATGATTAGTCTTCAAACTTTTCTTTTCATACCTTCAGCACAAAGGAGCACTTTCTAAGCTTTTTCTGATTAGCACTAAAATTTTGTCCATCTTGAATTGAATTGCTATATGTGTCGCATACGACTTATTTACCACTTCCGTGTCACTGAGAATGTTCTAGAACCGTACTGTGTCTGGGTGGAATATTCTAGATTTTTTTTAGAAACTGGTTGAATAGGTAATAGAACACTGTAGGAAACAGTAGAAGGTAACGGAACATTCTAGAAATTTGTAGTAAGTTCCAGACTCGTTATGTATGCTGATGTAATGGTCTATTTATAGACAGTGGGGGTATATATAGGGGAGTTGTTCAGCACTGAGTTCAGATCGGAGATCTCGTCGAATTGTATTGGAGTTTAAGTATCTAGTTATTGGAGTAGTGGAGTTTTAACGCGTTATTGTATTTGTATTGTATTTGCAGAGTATAATAATACCAGTACCAGTTGAAACCTCATCTGTTGGCTCCGTGTTCGTATTTTATCATCGCCGCCAGGGAAGTCTTTCTGTTACTGTTGCCATTTTGGTATTTGAACCATCACACCTGTACTATACCAATTATGGTAATATTACGTAGCGTGTGACAATGTGCATATGAGTGACATTAAGGTACATGTAATATGTAATCAAAACTTACCACAACCGAATGGTGTGTATCTAACTTTCAGTCCTTCTGGTAGTTGAGTATACATGGGTACTGCTGGTGATGGTATGTCTACTGGTGGCTGTTTCACAGATTGTAAAATAGACATTTGTCCTTTGATAGGAAGAGCTACCAGAAAAAAAAATGGAGAAAATCTATCAAAGATATGGATACAGAAGCATTAACATTCAGTAATCTTGTGAGATATTGCTCTGGAACAGCATTAATTAAATCAAAATGGCTGCCAGTCAGCCATTTCAGAATCGAACTGAAAAACAAAATGAAATGCATCACCAGCCTATAACGTCTATTGTATGTACCAAGTTTGAACAAAATCCATCCATAAGAGATTGAGATCTGGTTTAGCACAAAAATGACCACCATTCGGCCATTTGGAATCAGATTATCAAACCAGTACATCATGTATGACTAATGTATAATGAATATATAAATCATAATCATAATCAGTCAAAGCATGTCAGAACTGCATTCATTAAAACAAAATGGCCACTTGTCGGCCATTTTGAATCCTAACTGGCTGGCATCAAGGTCCAGAGTGACAGAAATGCTTGATTTTGATGATTTTTCAGCACAAAAATGGCCACCATTCGGCCAACTTGAATCAGATTGAAACAAATTGATGTGCATATGTTAATATTATGTATGATGTATGTGTGAAGTTTGAATGTAATCAGTTGAGGCATATCTAAAATACAGGTTCGGACACTGAGGCCAATCCATAAGTACCTGTTTTCGGACTGCGTCTGATCGGGGACTAATTATAGTATGTCTTAAACTCAGTAGAGAGGGGGTGTTACCTGGAACAAGTGTTGAGGTCTTCTTTGAAGGCAGAAGAAGGTTCAGATTCTTGCACTGTCAAGAAATAGAAATACAGCTAGGAAATAACTAATTGTTGTTATTGTTAATAAAAGTGTATTTAACATGATTTGTGTTCAAAGGTTGTACATGCACATTTGAGAACACAGCATGTTGTAATTGTATCATGATCAGAGATTATTAAGTGGTTTGGACTAAGTCTGAAAGAAGGCACACTTTGTCTGTAAAATCTGGTAAATCACGGGATGTTGTCATACACCTGGCTGTTAGTTAATAGTACAATACCTTGGATTGGTTGCCAGTTACTGCCTGTACTTCATAGTCTATAGCACTGTCTGGATCATTGGCAATCTTTTGTGTACCATTTAATACAACGGTTTGTCCACTCAACTGTGCTGGATTAAACTAAAAATAAATCAAAATTTTTTACATATTTTAGCGGCTAACATTTTTCATTCAATTGAATATTGTAATTTCTGAAAAAAATGAAACACTTATATGTTGATTGAGACATGATTCACCGAAATCAATGAAATGTACCTCTCTCATAATATCGGTAGTAGTTTTCAACTTTACACATTCACACACAAGTAACAAAGATGGCTGCCTGGCAAAATTTGACAGTGATAATAGGTCATAGATAACCGCATTTTAATCTTATCAAATATATAAATGCAACCACAGAATTTTGTCAGGAACAATGGCATTGTCAAATCTCATAAATAGAAATCTGGGCAGTATAAGTAAACATCAAGAAAAAACTGTCATACATGAAAATGTAGAAAATAAATACAGTGTTTGAAATTGGCCAAAAAAAAAACATGCCAGACACCAGGACTGGTAATTTGCCTGCACTTGTAAAAAGTTGTCAGTCCTATGTTTTTTTTCTTGGAACATGTTGAACATCAATAGAAGATGTTACATTCCTTTTCAATTTATTTCATTTATAATCGTATCAATTGCTGTATGAGAAATGCAAGAAAATTAAACAAAATGTATGTACTTGCATCCTCACACGTCAGAACATAGTCGCTGGTTTGCATCCAGTGGTGCATTTTGCCGATGCCAAACCCCCATAAAAATTCTAACCATTTTGAGACATGCATAGCAAACCACTCAACACTCAACACAAAGTTGCTGGTTCACTTTCTAAAACATCATGGTGGTGACAGTACATCATGTACATGCATAGTACTTACATTATAGGGTGCCTTTATCAACCAGACTTCGTTATTGTCATTATTGATGTCTTCAATGCATACTGACGGATTAACTTTATGTAAAACCTGCACAAAGTCTTCAGGACAGCCATATCTGAAAGCAGTACAAACCATTACAATTGTGAGTTAACTGAACTGAATTTCATAATTTCTATAGTTTCTTTGTTAATTAAGAATCCAAGGTTTTTTAATTGCACATATGTACCGCAGGTCTGGCCAAAAACATGCAGTGTCCTTGTCACATTGCTTATGAACCACAGAAGTCACATACATTCTGCATCCTGACTGTTTATGTTTCCCAATAGCCGATCAAAATAAATTTGTTTCTTGCAACAATGTAAATGAAAATAGGATAGGCAGGTATAATTTTGCATAACATTGTTCCAAATATAGCAGTATAATGTCAATGTACCAACTCCTTTTTTGTCTCTTGTTTGTAACAGGATGGTGTGTGATGAAACCGATCATACTCACCTATTTTAAGGAATGCTTTAAAAATAAATAATTACCTTAGCTTGTCTTCTGTTTGTTGTTCAATCATATGATCCATCTTGAGACACTAGTTAGCTAACTGAATTAGCAACAAATACATTAATCACGGAGGTGAACAAAATGACTAAGTCAAGTAAAATGTCATTGCAATGACTGTTAAAATGATTAAATAATAACACAAAAAGATTGAAAAATTCTATTCTATTTTATTCTATTCTATTCTATTCTATTCTATTCGTTTCGTTTCGTTTCGTATCGTATCGTAGTCCCTCTATATCTGATAGAGGGACTGTGTGTAAACAAAATGTTCTGGATACATACACCCCTCATTTCAAATAGTCGACTCTATAATCGGTTTCTTTGCTCACCGTTTACAAGTTTTCCTTATCAAATTTTAGCCTGAACTGTTTTGCTAACCACTTACATGTATTATTCAACATCGACCGTACTGTATAGTTCCGGTATTACAATGCCGTAATATTGGTAGTGAATGTGTTTTAAAAGCTGTTCTCCAAAGGACTGATAGAAAAAAAGATAAAAACGCCATCGCTGTACAGAAAACACTCACTTATACTTACATTACAATGAAACAAATCATTTGTCAGTGATGTACACTCTGGTTAGCACTATCGATGGCCGCGTGGGTTTTATATCAGGTGTTCAAATTCAACCTTTGAACTTTGACCTGACTGTAAAATGTTTGAAGATAGCACGCAATAGAAGCTAAAACACAAAAGTAGCCGACAGCAACTTGGGTGGTCGTATTATAATGCATACTACAGTTAAATATAATGCATATCTCGAGATAGGATTATTATTCCACGTGCCCTCTTAATATAGAGAGGGACAATGGAATTATAATAAAAAAACTAACCAGTCTAATCTAGAATCAAAAATCTGAAAAATAAATGAATAAAATATAATTGTTCTGTTTAGTAAAATAGCATACACCGACCCGAAGATCATACTATACTATATTTTTAGTATATTTAACAGAACAAAAATAGACGAAAACAAAATCCAGGCTGCAATAATTAGTATAGTATTAAACACGGAAAATAAATACTAAAGCGTTGACCAATAAAAAGTCAGAGGGGGAAAGGTGCAAATTATAAGTTTATTTCCGTTTTAGATGTTGCTGTGATTTTTTTTGCCTCTCTCTTTCAAGTATGTGCGGGAATTTTAAAAATAAATATTTGTTTTTGTTTTCAAAATACACTATGATCGCCCAGCCTTTCTAATGGTTAACTCATAAAACACATAATAACATTAACTACATACGTTCAGGAACATCCACGAACAAGAAATGTACATATATACATATGTCATTGTCCCAAATTAGTAAACAAATACAAACAAATGGTACATAAATTTTAGTTTTAAGACCAAACGTAAACAAAAAGAAGACATTCCAAAGCAATCACCTTTACTCTGTGTTGCGTTGCGTTGCGTTGTGTTGTGTTGTGTTGTGTTGTGAAACACAAGCGCCAGTCGATATAACAATTATATATTACTTTAAATTCGTTATTTTATGATTACAGTAAAATGAGATTCCAAAATGACGACATTACATGGTGATAACACAATCTTTCGAACCATTGACAACAAAGTTAGCTAGCTGTATCTTTAGCGACATGACGATTCCAAAAAAGTGTAAATGCAGAATCAAATCTGGGAATTTGAATTACTAATAGAATATTTATAATTTATTTTTTACGAAGAAAAAAACATGATATTATAATGAAACATTTCAACTATGATCTGGGAATAGTTTTAAGCGTGAACAGAAAGTATAAAGAAGCACCGAAAAGCCTTAAAAGAAAAAGACAACTGGAGTCAGAATACCATTACTTAATTCCGTTCGAGTAATCAGCACCTCAAAATAATAGAAAGAGGGATATATACTTGGCTAAAAACACAAATAGGTAATATGTGAGCGATGCATTGTGAATGAGAATGAAAACGAAATCAGCTTGTTAGCATCATGTCATTTTCCCCCTTTTTATTCCCAGTATTAGTGACTTGTCAACTGAACATAAATGTGTAATGATCAAAAACATCTCTTATTTAGACTTCTAAATAGAAAAAATGAAACCACCCCATCCCCACGATTATGGTTAATATTTTCGCCCGCCCATTTGTACCGGAAAAATATGTGAAAGGCGTCGCCAATTTACTAGTACAATGTATATTTAACAAAGCGTGATTAGAGGTACAATTTAAGACCTTTTTTCAACTTATCGAGTGCCTAAATTTTACCTGAGTGGTCCCGGTGACTGAGGTCACAACGGGGTCACAAACCGGGAAATACCGTATGTCTCTCAGGCACACGTCGTTGCGCGCCGTCATATATACTCGCCCACCTAGCCTGAAATTTGGAGTAGAAATTTTACATCTACTAGCGTGTAAGTTGAGGCATACATCGTTTAACGATTTTTTTTTAAATAATACAATATATAAGACCCAGAATTATAGCTAGGGGGTTGACCACTGGAAACTCAAGGGACGTGCCAGAATTAAAAATCAAAGAACGAACTCCCGTGTGCTGAGAGTATTGGAGACGTATTAAACATTAATTAGCCCTCCAAACAAGAAGCTTGGTAACTAATATTTGTCTGCTATTTGAGATCTACAACATGAAAACATGGTCTACATTTTTGAAGTTTATAATACTTTAAAAAAATACATTTTGATTTTACATCTGTGGTTTTCAGTCTAATTTATTTCAAAACACCTTTGCCACAAGTTTGAATTTAAATATTTTTTGTTGTAATACCAGAAATTGCTAATACTGATTAGATAATCAATATGCATGTTTTTCATTATTGATTTAACCAAATTACAATGCAATGTGCTGATTATGCAATTAGTATGCTCGAATTTCAATCAAAAACTAATGCATTGTCGGTTCCCAGGCACTTATATACCAAGTCTTAGTATTTAAATGGAATAATTGTTTTTTTGAATTATTATGCAAACTAAGCAATTATCGTAGATTTCAAGATAAACTGTGTCAGTTGTTTTGACAAATCTAATTTCATATTTATTGTTCTTATTGATCATTCCTCCTTATAAGGTTGGCAAGTGAGAACGTATTGACATCGGACACACCGTGCTAGCACGGTTATGTATGCAAGTCGATAAAAAGAGACAGCAGACTAGGAGGGATATGCCGAAACTACATGCATGGGAGACACCAAATAAATGAATAATTGCCCGTAAAATGTAAGGATTTCCATATTGAAATTAATCTTCATTTGTTTTTAACAATTGTTAATATTTAAATTAGTGGATATTTCTATAATTGTGAATTTGTTTGAGAGAATAATTTTGAATTATATTTATGTCTTTATTACGGACTTCTATAGTGCATAGATGTTTAACTTCCCATTTCCACATTAATTTGTTTAAAGCGGGGAACGAATATATTGTATGAAACAGGCCAAAATTTTCACTTTCAGGCCGTAAGTTTCAAGAGTTTAAATTTTATAGAAAGTATGTTAAATTCTTTAAAACTAAAAATTAGTATTTCAGCTGATTAAAAGCAACACGAGCCTTTATCTGTGAATCAAATTTTAATTAGAATGGAACTTCACTAGCATATATTCTATTATTTAAATAAATGGTTGGTACGTCATACGTCTATTTCGACAATAACATGTGTGCCATCTAATTCATAATATATCCGAGTCATTTTCTTCGTTTTGAAGGCCCCATCAAACCTTTCAAACAGAGAACGAAAGTAATATTTTAAGATTTTAGTTTCTAAGTAGCAATAAACGTGTCATTCATTTCCAGTTAACTCGCACGGATAACACCGATGTGGTTCCATGAGATCCGATCTATGCATACTACTAGTATTAGACGTTGCTTCCCTTGCTTTCTTACTCCTTCTGGTTATTAAAAACAGCGCTGTAAGTGCTTAAATAGTGTTCGCTAATTTTGTCTGTTCACTTGCTAGTGTTCGTTTACTTCACATAAGTAATCGGTGCCGTTTCCGGTCATGGTTTTACTCATGTATGAGTTTTTCGAAGTTATCACATTTCACTTTTAATGTATGTTATTCTTGAACAACATGCAGATACGGAGATATATCACAAGTTTTGGAAGTTCGATAGATCACCTCGCTGAAAATACCACACTCCAGTCAAGTTGCGTGACGCACTGACGGTCTACGTAAAAATATACGTCTGCTATCTATAGCTGTACATAATATTGATTTGCCAATATAGCTCGATATATTATATACGATAGTAGCTTCCATGATGTATATACAGTGAGTTAATTTTATTCAAACTTCATTGATAACATCTGGAATGTACGTATACAAATGTATATTTCAGGAATGTTTGGTGTCGTTCTGTGGCGTCCAGTTTTGGACTACATGCAAGTCGCAGTTGTCGGACGAAGTTGCAAAGAGTGACATCCCCGACTGCTTCTGTCAGTGCATATACCAGTGTTAACAGATTATTCTGTACAAATTTGAGATATAAGGTAAGTGAATATAAAAATTCATCGTAATAATATATGGTCTCATTCATTGACTTTCTTCTTTGATCACAAAACTAGATGTCCAGGATCGGGGAGGGGGGTGTTGGATGAAAAATGTGTCTTATTAACATAAATTAATAATTCATGAGAAATGATTTTTTTCTAAAACAGAACTAAAATACACTACGATACAGTGAATTCAGCAAAGGCACATACTTTTTAAATGATTTAAGATAATTTTTCCCTAAATATAAAGCAAGTAGTGATGGATTTTGTGCAACTTGTGTCATTTACTGCAGTTTTTAATATTTGTTTGTAAATAACTAAGTACTGTAAAATCATTTATTTTCACTATTTTGATGTTTAGAGCATATTCACTATCTTTTAATTTCACAAATTTGTCAAGGAAACAACAAGTTTTATTGTTATTTTACATGTTCACATAGATTTAATTTAGGGACGACGTCAAAAGATCGATGTCGGATAAGTTTTTTTTCAAACCCCCCCCTACCCCCCCACTGAAACTTAATTGATAAATATTGGTCATGGCGTCAGACTACATTCACCATTAAATACAAATTGATAATCGGACAGTAGTATTTCATAGCAGTTGGTTGTCGGGTGGGTGTAAAAAGATTTTACAAATGCACCTCATTTGACGCACAGATTTACGCTCGAACCAAACCATTTTTCTGTTGTTTTTTTTCCTTTTTTGGTTATTTCTGTCCATGATTGGATAGAAAAAAAAACGAACTACAAATACTCCAAGATCTTTTTGACTTCATTAAAAAATAAAATCGTCTTGTAGGATGGAAACTTTTTGAGGTCAAAAACCCCCACCCCCAAACTAAAGGATATAAGTTTTTTATCCGACATCGATCTTTTGACGTCGTTCCTTAGCGGATTCTACTTATCAGCTTATCTACTTATTAATGCATTTACAGTAAATTTTTATAACATGATTTTTCATGAGAGCAAGCATGCAGGTTTTATCTTTAATATGATTCATCAAAGTTACCTAATTAAAATCATCCTGTGAGTTTTTAAACATAATAAAGAGTTCTTGCTACTTAAGCTTTCTTCAATAAATCAATAATGATAAGTACTTATTATTAGTTATTTTATACTTGCAGAGAGATAATAATGTCATACTAATAGGATGTCCTGGCTCAGGCAAGACAACTGTTGGCAAGATTCTATCAACACACTTGGCAATGTCAGTACTTGATTTTGATAATGATATTTTAGAACCATATTGGGAAATGGCCGTAGGAGACAAGGTATGACTAATTTTAATTATTTCAAACAACACTCGGGATAAATCTATCTATAAGATGAGGTATGTACGGGTGTCTCAGAAGCGTACACAGGGTACATAGAAGCCACAGCCCTGACGTGTGCATGATGATCTACATGTACGTTCTGAGGGCACACAAGACAATTTCTCAGTAAGATACACTAGTGACTTTTGGAACACCCATAAATAAATGTCAAATGACAACTTAAATTTTGAATGTGGTCTTTAAATATTAAAATCCATGAACCAAATTCACCACATACAGCCTAGAACCAATTTCATCACACACAGCCTAGAACAGAATTCAATACACACAGCCTAGAACAGAATTCAATACACACAGCCTAGAACCAAATTCATCAAATACAGCCTAGAACCGAATTGATCACATACAGCCTAGAACCGAATTCATCAGTCACAGCTGAGAACCGAATTCATCACATATAGCCTAGAACCGAATTCGTCAAACACAGCCTAGAACCAAATTCATCACACACAGCCTAAAATCAAATTCATCACATACAGCCTGGAACTGAATTCATCACATATAGCCTAGAACCGAATTCATCACACACAGCCTAGAACCTAATTTATCACATATAGCCTAAAACCGAATTCGTCAAACACAGCCTAGAACCAAATTCATCACATACAGCCTAAAACCAAATTCATCACACACAGCCTAAAATCGAATTCATCACATACAGCCTGGAACTGAATTCATCACATATAGCCTAGAACCGAATTCATCACACACAGCCTAGAACCTAATTCATCACACACAGCCTAGAACCGAATTCATCACACACAGCCTAGAACCTAATTCATCAAACACAGCCTAGAACCTAATTTATCACATATAGCCTAAAACCGAATTCGTCAAACACAGCCTAGAACCAAATTCATCACATACAGCCTAAAACCAAATTCATCACACACAGCCTAAAATCGAATTTATCACACACAGCCTAGAACCTAATTCATCACACACAGCCTAGAACCTAATTTATCACACACAGCCTAGAACCGAATTCATCACACACAGCCTAGAACCTAATTCATCACACACAGCCTAGAACCTAATTCATCACACACAGCCTAGAACCTAATTCATCACACACAGCCTAGAACCTAATTCATCACACACAGCCTTGAACCGAATTCATCACACACAGCCTAGAACCGAATTCATCACACACAGCCTAGAACCTAATTCATCACACACAGCCTAGAACCTAATTCATCACACACAGCCTTGAACCTAATTCATCACACACAGCCTAGAACTGAATTCATCACACACAGCCTAGAACCTAATTTATCACATGTAGCCTAGAACCGAATTCGTCAAACACAGCCTAGAACCAAATTCATCACATACAGCCTAAAACCAAATTCATCACACACAGCCTAAAATTGAATTCATCACATACAGCCTGGAACCGAATTCATCACATATAGCCTAGAACCTAATTCATCACACACAGCCTAGAACCTAATTCATCACACACAGCCTAGAACCGAATTCATCACACACAGCCTAGAACCTAATTCATCACACACAGCCTAGAACCGAATTTATCACACACAGCCTAGAACCGAATTTATCACACACAGCCTTGAACCTAATTTATCACACACAGCCTTGAACCTAATTCATCACACACAGCCTTGAACCGAATTCATCACACACAGCCTAGAACCGAATTCATCACACACAGCCTAGAACCGAATTCATCACACACAGCCTAGAACCTAATTTATCACACACAGCCTAGAACCTAATTCATCACACACAGCCTTGAACCGAATTCATCACACACAGCCTAGAACTGAATTCATCACACACAGCCTAGAACCGAATTCATCACACACAGCGTAGAACCTAATTCATCACACACAGCCTAGGCTTTCATTTGCCCACTAATATATATGCTTACCATTTTATTATTAGCTTTCACAAGTTGGCGCAGACAAGTTTCTTCAACTTGAAGGTGATGTCTTGCTACAATTTCAACAACAGAACCATATTATTTCATTAAGTGGATCCAACCCTCTGCACCACACCGCCATGAAACATATTTCAAATTCAGGAATTGTAGTTTTCCTTGATGTGCATATTAATGATATAATAGCGAGGATGGCAGAAATGAAAGTGGATCGGATCGTCGGACAGGGAAAAGGGGTCCACATGGAAGATATATTAAAGTATCGGTTGCAGTTTTATGAAAAGTGGTATGATCTACGTGTAATTTGTGCGAGAAAAGACAGCCCTGAAATTGTCGCTGAAAAAATCATGAAAGGATTGAAGCGTTATCACACTATGAGAAATCATATATCAACTCGGAGCAGTTCTAGTAAATCAGCGACTGTGAACACTGAAGAAGGTCATAAGAATTTTTTGCAGGTAGTCAGAGAAGGTTTAGCTAGCGATGGTGGACTTTACATTCCCCAGACCAACATCCCATATTTACATGCAGATCAGTGGAGTCGTTTGATTGGCTGCTCTTATCAGGAGAAAGCGTTGCGGATTTTAGAGCAGTGGATTCATCCGGAAGATGTTCATCCACAGAAACTGAGATCAATGATCGATAAGGGTTACAAAATGGATAATTTTAATTGTCAGAATGTCATTCCATTGGTTCATCTGCGGAATAATCAATATCTGTTAGAACTGTTTCATGGACCGACTGCATCTTTCAAAGATGCAGCCCTGCAACTCATGCCACAGTTTTTCACAGAAGCTGTTAAGCGGTGTGATAATAACGCAAGGTAGGAGCACTCATCAGTCTGTAATTTAGTTGAAAGATTGATAGAGGTGCGAGACTTGTTCCTTTTTTCACTGCAGTTTTTTGTTACTCATTATTTTCTTAGGTATTTAGTACTGGTGGCAACATCCGGTGATACTGGTAGCGCTGTCTTGGATGGTTTCAGCAAGTACTCCGGTAAATAAATGTTAAGTCTGGTACAGATTCCAGATGGAAGACTAATGAACTGACATTGTGACCTGCCTTTAAAATCAAATAATTTTTGCAGTTTGTGTTTCAATGTTGCAACTTTGTGGTTTGTAATTACTTCTTCAGTGGTTGTCTTCTATATGGCCTTCTGTTGTTGTACTTTGACCATGGAGGACACAGTTTTAATGCTATGAGGTTATTACGAGGATACCGAAAAGTACACACGATGACAGTACAGTGACAGTATCAATCGACATGCAGCGAAGGTTGATGCGACGACGTACACTCTGAGTGAATACTTTGCAATATCCTCGTAATAACATTATTATTATACATCTTTTCCTCCAATGATACATCATGGGAATGTCGAAATCCAAAAAGTTTAGAACAGAATCAGCAAACTTCTTTTGTGTGGAGTCCGGTCAAACCCTGGTGGCAGCCATGTTTGTTTTTATTATTAGAGGATGCTTACGCGAGTAATCATTCCAATTCGCATTTCCTAATATGGTAGGATGAAAATACCCTGTAAAATACCGCAAAATTACGGCACGCTGTAACTTATGGCGTTACGGTGACAGATGTATAATAATAGTATGTAATATAATGTAACAACTGTTAATGTAATTTTGACATTCATAGAATCATTCCAAATCAATCTTTGTCACTATTCACAAAATAAAACCCATCTAATTTTTTCCGCATTTTTATCAAAAATGGGAGGGGGCTTGATGAAATTATTATTACACTGCAAATAATTTCGTGAAAAATATAAATACAAAATAATAGTATGAAATAATTGTTTGGAGATAAACTCCCTAAAAAAGTTTTGATGTTAAAAGATTATTATCTTATAAAAAAAATGAGTAGTTATCAGAATTATAATAATTCTCGACAGTCGTAAGAACCCATCGTATAATTACATCCAAATTTCACCATATGAAATCAAATAGAAGTTTGAGATATTATAAGAACTTTGCACTATAATAATAATAATAATAATAATATGTTTTATTGCACAATAATGAAATAACGAATCAAAATTTTCATGTGTTTTGTGCAAATATTTTTATCTGAATTTTGTGGACAACAGCATCAAATCAAATCATATTATGATCTTTGAGGAAATCTGATCATTTAAAGGTTTAATATCTCAAACCCCCCAATTGCAACCATCTCCATAGAAGGGGTTTAATGATTAACTATATAAAACAATAATTTTATTGAGAGAATATAATTAACATAACATGCTAGCTAAAAATGGGAAAATGTTTTACAGTAACTACAAATCAAATATTTGATTTACAATTCAGGTGACTCTGGCACTTTAGTGATGGTGCTATTTCCTGAAAATGGCGTTAGTTTAGTACAGAAAACACAGATGAGAGCTACACTCGGTGATAATGTACATGTTGTTGGTAAGTTAATTCACTCATACAGCCAATCTGCATTGTCTTAAAGGGCCTTAACAAATCTAGTACACTAACCAACACTTCAGATTGATTGACAAGTCTGTTATGTGTAGATTTTTTAAAGTTTCATGATCATAGACAGGCATTTAGTCTACATTAAACAATAACGATTTTACAAAACTGAAAAGAATGATTTGTATAATTTTTAAAGCAAATAGTAAACAACATCATCACATGTAGTGTTGAAAATCTCCCAAAATGAAAGTGATTCAAATAAACTGACATTGGCAATATTGGAAAAAGTTGACCAGGCTGAGTACTGTAAAATTGGTATTAGAAGCTGCAGCTTCTATTAAAATAGTACAATACAACAGAAGGGATACGGCTTCTATTAGAGCACCTACACATATGAGAAATGGTGAATTTTTGGTTCTCAATTGTTCAAAAAGAATGGGTGCGGCTTCTTTCAGGGATGCGGCTTTTAATGCAGATTTTACGGTACTTACTCTAAATGTACAAGTCCACCATTTCAAATGATTTTGCTAAGCTAAGGCTTGCTTATTTTGGTACCATATTAAATAAAGTAGTTTGAAATTATTTACAATTATAACATTCCTTGTAAGTTGTCAAAATAAAAAGAATATTACATTCGTGTGTGACCCCTATGTGACTCCATGCCTTTATAAAAATCCTACGTGCAGTGTGCAACCAATGAACCAATAAAGAGAGATTGTTAGGACAAGTAGTTGTAGTCACTTCCATGTTTGTGAAAGCTTGTGATGTTACTGATGAATATTATTATCTGCAGTGTCATCCACTTAGAAAATTTACATATAAACATAAATGTAAAAAGTTTAATGTATTGCATAAAAACAAAGTTTATGATATTAAAATGAATGAACTAATGAACGTAAAAAAAAAAACTATTGACTCAAGAAATAGGAGAGGAGATGGATGCATTGAATTGATGGAAGAAATACAGAATATCTGCAGTACCGTTTTGTATTCATTGCTACATTGATTTATTTTTAATTTATGCATAATTTTGTTCACAGGAATTAAAGGTGATTTTGATTTCTGCCAGACATCTATTAAGAGTATTTTTAACAACATTGAATTGTGCAATCAACTGTTAGACCAGTACAACATAAAACTGAGTGCTGCTAACTCCATCAACTGGGGAAGGCTCCTTCCACAGGTAATGTCAAATGTAATAAGTTAACTGATAGACAAATAATGGTCAAGATAAAAGTGCATTGACCAAAACATCTGAAAAGCAAGTTTTTATGAAAATCATATTAAAATAAACCCCAAAAAATTAAATACATAGTCTGTAAATATAATATGTAATTAGTATGTGGTAGTAAGTTTAATCTTCCTTATATAATGGTGCAATTTTTTAGTTATGTGTGTTCTCACAATCTTATGTTCTGCTTATACTTTTACCAGTTTCATATGGTAGCAAAGAAGAGCCATTGAAACTATGTAGATATTTTGAATAGTTACCTAGGACAATGACTACCAAATATATCATATTTATCAGGCAACTATTAAAAATAGATTGACATTTTGGGCAATAGCCCTTTCTTCAGTAGCAAATGAAAAGAAGAAGGGCCATGAAGAGCCTAATATGTTCAGCTGTTTTGGATAGTTACATAGGACAACACTGAATGAAACCAAATAAAAATTTTAGATATGGTGGGAACTTTGCACTATAATAACCGAATTATATTACCGAATATAGTCTACTAAATATCATATTTATCAGGCTTAGCAGCTACTATATATTTTCTACTCTATTGTTTAGGTAGTATATCATGCTTCTGCTTATCTGAATCTTGTTAATGATGACATCATCAAAATGAGTGATCCCATAGATCTGTGTATTCCTACTGGTAACTTCGGTAACATGTTAGCTGCTGTTTATGCAAAGGTAAGAAAACAATTAAGTTAAAAGTGAGTTGAGATATGTACCTGATAAGTGTTTACAACTTTTCGAGTTGTGTCTCCATTAGTCATAGTCTGAAATGGGGACTTATGTTTTGGGTTTAGTGTGTCTGTTTGTGCGTCTGTCAGACATAATTTTTCTGCCAATTTTATTTAAACTAAATATGAACAACATGATGATGTTTTGTTGTGTAATTTGATTCAAAA